GCTTGCACCATGATGGCACAATGCTACTTCTGTCATTTTGATGAGAGCATCTGATCCTGTGGATGCTTCTGGTGGGATTAAGAAAAGCTGTAATTATGTAAGTAGTTATAACAGTGACCTTGTTACTCAGCTAGGATTTCTGCTTGCTGTCTTCATGTTCTTTTGAAATAGTGTAGAGATGCTCAGAAAGTTGGGGAGCAGGCTCAACGAATAGATTATATGATTCTGATGACTTATTTTTGGTAGGGGTGGTTGGAACCTCCCATTTTGATCTGTACTCAGTGCCAGTACACTGAATTAATATTATAAACAGCCTGCTGGTCTAATATCCCCTGACTGCTGAAACAAAGAGATTGTTTAAGCATGGCTTAAACATAAATGCTGAATTAATGTTTTGAATTTAGCTGCACTGTCATTTTAAGAGTGGTCATAATCAGTCTTCCTCTTGCACATCATAGTGTTATATCTATCATGGGGTGGGGTGGGGTGGGGAAGAGATCAAGATCCACTGCCTTTAATGAATATATGTTATGCAAAAAGTAGAATTTGAGAAAGCTTGGGCTATTATGCAACCATGAAAAATAGATAGGCTATTCTAGGCAAATAAGAAAACTCTAGAACAGTGTTTTTCCAACTTGGCAACTTTAAGATGTGTGGACCTCAATGCTGGCTGGGGAATTTTGGAAGTTGAAGTTCATACATCTTAAAATTGCCAAGTTTAGGTGGGCAACCTAGGGCTATAATGCCACATAACGACTAAGGCCTAGCATTCCTCAAACAATTCAGATCCCTGGCAATTGTATTTTTGCTTTTCTTGGTCTCTTGGTACATGAAGAGCAAAGAACAAAAGGAGGTCAAAGAGAAGACAGGTTCCCACTCACTTTGTCTCTGCCCATCTAATTTATATGCAGCCCTTGATCAAAGAATGCCTGCCCTCGTTTTAGCATATTATGATGTCCGATCTTGAACCAAAATGCCAGATTTCAGTACCCCCAAATATACTGATTACATTGCCCAAGGATAAATAGGCTGTCAACTGCTTTATTAATCAGTTTATTTTTAAAACACTTTTTTCTTTGTAGTTCTCTGATTTGCACCTTAATGATACAGAATGCCATGGCACAAAAGTAGGAGATTTCTATGAGTTCAGCATTAAGACAAACTTCACAGACTGCTGAACAAGAATGGCAGTTTTTATATTGTTTATAAATTTGCTCCCTATGCCACGTTTGTTTTCCAAACTGCTGTGAAGATCTTCAAAGTCCCACAAGCATTTAATTCTACATGAAGTTAAATAATAATTGGTTCTGTCACTTACTTTCAAAAAGGTGAAATCATATAAATGCCATTCTGGTCTTTTAGAAGTATTTTGAGAACAACAACATCAAAAAAGAGTCTAAACTTCTAAGAACACATGGAGATAAGATACCATTCATGATATGTGCAGTTTACTTTGTTGTCTTTTCAATACAAATGGAATATACAGTAGCATTGTACATCACCTACAGGGGTGAAACCAGGATTTTTAAAAGAAACAGTCCAGTTTTTGTAGGAGAGTTTGGCATTTCTCTTATATTTTAATTGTGTCACACTTATTGTAGGGTTTACAGTACATATTTTTATGCATTTCTTGCATCAAAATGACAAACCACAGTTGGTTACTGTACTATCAAAATTTGATGGAAAGTACAAATAGGATGTTTGGAAATTACAGGTGGGCCTAGGTTTGCTTGTTTGTTTATTTATTTAACTTGTTCCCGCCCACCTCCCCCCAATGGGGGACTCTGGGCGGCTTACAACATATTAAAACAATAAATATACAGTTAAAATTTATAACAGGACACATTTACAAAGAATAAAAGGAAAAATCCAGGAGGCCAATGGAAGCAACACCAGGGCTCTAGGGGGCTAGCCAACCCCACATCTGCTGACCTCCCTCCCCGCCCCAGGCCACATGGCAGAGCCAGGTCTTCAAGTCCCTCCGAAAGGCCGGGAGTGAGGAGGCCTGTCTCACCTCTGGGGGCAAGATGTTCCAAAAGGCGGGGGCTACAGTAGAGAAGGCCCACCTTCTGGACCCTGCTAGTTGGAGTTCTTTTGCCGAGGGGGTCCGGAGCATGCCTTCTCTGTGCGATCAGGTGGGACGGGTTGAAATCGTGGGGGAGAGGCATAAAATATATACCAGGTTACTCTAACTGATCTAATCTGTCAGATAACCAGGAGAGACCGTGCTTGTTTTGCTTGCCTTGTGAACATCTGAACTATTTTCAGCACTACATGTGCTAAAAATACATGTAATTGTTAATGTATTTTTTTTCTTAGAACTGCACAAGCAATGACCACTTGATCAAACATAAATGAGAAGCTGCACTTTTTTATAGGACCTATTGTATGGTCCTATAAAACAAAGACTGGTGGACAATGAAGAGACTCATATAAGTAGTCAACAAATGATGTTTTAAAGTAAAATCCCTGAATATGTACTGAACAGCAACTACTGCATAAAAATGTGTTTGTAGGTACAGACAGTTTGTACTGTCCTCTTACCACCTTTTTTTTTTCTCCAGCTGAATGTATCAATGTTGTTAATCTTTTCTTTTTAGCAATACCTACTATTCTGCTATGAATCCATTCTTCCTCAATGTTCAGAACTGGGCATGGCACTCAGTGTTCATGATGAAACATTTCTTTTAAAAATACCATTGATCTACACTTAAGAATGTAAGAAGTGGTTTATTCTCCATTTCTAGAAATTTTAAATCCTCAAGCACAAGTTGGGTTCATATCTTGCATTAAGCCATGATTATTTGAACTGTAGTTTGTTAAACAAATCATAGTGGCTTGGTTTGCACATAAAACTAAGCTTGAGTATGGTGTAATGGTAAAGATGTGTTGGACTAGGACTGGGGAAACCAAGTTCAAGTCTACTCTCAGCCCCTGAAGCTCACTGGATTACTTTGGGCAGATGCTCTCCAAGCCCATCCTACCTCCCAGGGTTGCTGTTGTGTGGGAAAATGGAAAGTGGTGCTCTGTATGCTACCTTGAGATCCTGATGGAAAGGCAAGACACACATTAAGTTAATATAAAAATAAATTGGTGTCTTGCCAGGCCTTGCCAGTGATACATGAGAATACATATAAGCTCCCTATACATATCCATGCATCTCCCTATACATATCTAATCTTCATTCCTCCATTCACACATAAATGCAATGAGCAGCATATAAATGGCTGCATAATCTCTCCCATGCCAATGCACATGTGCATGCACACAAACACGTATATTTCCCCTGTACACATGCATAAATGCAAACAGTCTCCCCGCCCCCAAGCGATAGAGTCCCACCTACCTCATGGTATTGTTTAGAGGGGGGAATGCTCTGTATGGCACCTTGAGCTCCTGATGGAAAGTTCAATGGTCTGTGAGAATGTCCTTGAGAGACAGGAGGAGGAGGGGGAAGAGCAGCAGCCATCTAGGCAAGTTAGATAGGAGGCAGCTTAGCCCACAGAAGCAATGGGGGTGAGAGAAACTGGGAGCCCTTTTTCATAAGGTTTCAGGAGCATGGCACATGTCTCAGGAGGGACCCTCCCTCATTTCTTGAACTGTAAAGGTAAGGGGGGAGACACGCACTTTCAGACTTGAACGATTCTGTTAATGTAACTTTACAATAAAGGTAGTGTTAGTACTCACGGTTGGAGCTCCGTACCTGGACTACCTCTAAGGGCTAACAGAAAGGCTGGATATAAGTCTAACAAACAAAACCATGGCTGACAAACCATGAGGTCACACACTGTGCCAAGTGAAACCCAAATCAAACAATCAGTTAGTGTGACAGGTAAACCTAGCCAAGGAAGCTCAAGATTTCACTACCCATTGATGTTACCTAGTTGGGTAATGAAACATCTGCAAGCAAACAATCAAGCTTAGAGAGCACCAAGGATTCCACAGTTCAACCCTGAGATACAGATATTCTCTTCTATTGGAAATAGATGTGGCTGACTTAATGAGTCACAGACAGATGTTCCCGCATTCCAAAGCAACTCCTCCAAACTAAATCCAAACCACTGCATAATTATAATATGCATTATTACTTAATTTATACCCCAGCTTTTTACTCTTATGGCACTCAAAGCAGCTAATGAGAACAAAAAAAGCAATTACTACAATTCCTGAGAAACTGATTTTTGGGAATTAGGCAGAAGGCGGCCTTTTTCACATCTGACAAATAGGCTTTTGAAAGTGTACATACCCTTAAAAGGGTTTTTCCTGTGGATCTTAGTTTCACGCTTATATCTTGAATTACGTCTGGAAGGCAATGGCAACAGAGGCATAACAATATTATTTGCAAGTTATCTGCGTAGAAGTTTACCAACAGCGCGAGCGAGCGAGCGTAACGCTACGCATAAGAGACGGGTCACTTGCCACTCTGGAACAGCCCTCGTTCTGCTCCGCCGGGGGTAGAGAGCGACGTCGCTGCGTCATTAACGTGACTGGCCGCGACGTCTTCTGAGAGCCCGCCCCTCTCTAGGACGCCCCTTTCTCCGCTGGCGTGGAACTGAGGGGTGGGGCGAGGAAGCGGCACCCGAAACGCGGTGCTGTGCGCGCGGCGTTCTCTG